TTTTTATTTAATAATATATAAAAATAATATAAAAATTATTCTTATATCACTTTTTTTTCCAATTGAAAGTCTTTTTCGTTGCGAAATGGACCCACCAACACGCGCGCGCGCAAGACGGACGGTGGTACATGTGGAGGGCCCACAGTGGGGGCCCATGTTCGATGGCTAAAGTCTTTTCTATGTATTATTTAGAAAGAAGGTGTTTTATAAATTAAATTACAAAATATAATATTAGTGAAGAGCCTGTATCTAATTATTGGTATTTTGCAGTTTGTATAATTTAAATGGTAAAATATTAGAGTCATATTATAATTTAACAAAAAAAATTCTTTTGTAATCCAAATAGTATAATTCAAATTATTAGTATTAGATGAAGGCAAACCCTTAATATTATTGGCTGTCCATTAAATTTAATAATTTCTATTTGTTTTACAGTATTTTGAAGTTTGAATCACATAATATTTTTATTTTATTTTTAATTTTAAATATTTTTGAGAATGATAATTGAAATTATTACATAATGCAGGAAGAAAACATGAAACTAAAGATGGAGAAGATGGATTCTGGAGAAGATTATAGTTGGACTGACTACATGTCTTCGCCATTCACTCAAAACGTGAGTTTCTAAATATTGACCAAGGAGAAAATAACATTAAAATTCATGTTAATTTAACAGAAGAAATGAGAAAATGAATTCTCTCTCTCTCTCTCTTTTTACACTAGGTGATTAGTGAAACTCTTAGGTTGGCAAACATTATAAATGCAGTATGGAGAAAAGCCCAGAGAGATATAGAGATTAAAGGTCAGTTTCATGAAATTTCTTAAAAAACGATCCATCTCTCTCTCTCTCTCTCTTTATATATACATATATATATATATATGGAAGACACAATTTTACAATGCAATGCTTCAATTTTGCAGGAAATTTGATACCCAAAGGATGGTGCGTCTTGGCATCTTTTACCTCTGTTCACATGGATGACCAAATTTATCAAAATCCTTATCATTTTGATCCCTGGAGATGGGAGGTAAGTTTTTTAAAAATATATTTTTTGATTTATTATTATTATTATTATTATTATTTTAAATATTTGGTGTAGAACTCGAATCCTACACCTTAAACTAGCATGAAAAAATCTTTAGAGTGTATTAATAGTCATTAGACCATAAAACCGTTCTCCGATTTGATTTTTATTTGTAGGCACCGCCTAAAAATGAATTTTTATTTTTCCTTGCAGAAGCTTGGAGCTGCTGTTAACAATAATAACTTCACTCCTTTTGGAGGAGGGCAAAGGCTCTGCCCAGGCTTAGAACTATCAAGGCTTGAAATTTCAATCTTCCTTCACCATCTCGTTACTAGTTATCAGTAATTACTCAAATCTTGTTCTCTTTATCTTAAACTCGAAATTGATCGCTGGCCTTGAATCATTTTTCCTTACTTTCTCAAATGCAGATGGGTTGCCCAAGAGGACAACATTGTCTACTTCCCTACGGTGAAGATGAAGAGGAAGATGCCAATCACAGTCACACCTGTTTGCAACCACCAGTAGATTGGCCCATTTGGGAAAACATGCATCAAGAAAATACGTTAAAGACTGTATAATTCAGTCACCTGGGTAATAAATAACTAGACAGATCCAGCAAGTGGTATCCCCACCACAGAGCAAGGCCATTAAAATTGTATATGTACAGCTTGCATTTTTCTTAATGATTAAAAATAAAGGCAGATGGGACTCAAAACATTATGGTGTTAGTTCTTTAGTCACTATCTTTTTGTTCATGGAGGTCGTTTTCTGTCCTTCCAAATTGGATGCCCGTGGGGATGATTGAAATCAAACTTGGAATCCCATTAAAAATTTCTCTGGTTTGAATTGATGACAACATTTGTGGCAGTTGTTGGAGAAGATGGAAATGACATGGTACTTCTGATCCCGATATGTGTGGTGTAGTATTGAGTCGGCAGAGCCATGGTAGATCTATTGTCCAAGGCAACTGGGATGCTCAATTTGCCTTCACGTGATCCAAGAACAGGAAGAGGACCACTATAGATATCAGAAATCATATGGCAGAGAGTTGGTTTTCACTTTTCAGATTAAAGTAAAGAAGGATGAAGAACCTTAATCTCTATTACAGTCGTCTCAGTAGGCGAAAACAGGATAGGTAAATTTGGTGAGAAATGACCAGAATTGAAAGGCTTATTGATCCTGACAAAATTTTCTAATCCACCCTTTACCCATACATACTTCCAGCATTCATATTTGATCTGATCAATAAAATTTTGTAGTTAAAACAGACGTGTAAAGGGAGACCCCGAGTAAAGGAGGTCAGCCATGGAGAAGAGAACATGTTCAATTGAGTTATGTTTAGAAACTTATTGTTGATAAATTCTGTATGCAAAATATAATGCATGCCCAGTCTACCATTGTATAAGTGCAAAAGAACTCCTAATGTTATAAATGTCAAAACACCCAAACCAGGCAGCGGTTTAAACTACCAACCTGGGAGGTACCAAATACAGGGAGCTTATGGCAACTAGGTAGGATGTTGCTAAAGCTGTGTAGCATCAGAAGATGGAAGTCCTAGAGAGTAATAATTCAAGCCATGGCTTTTTTCTTCTCTTTCTCAAGCCGTTGCAGTTCTGCCAGTCTCTCAACCCATGCTCTCTCCCTTGCAACTGCAGCCATCTTATGCTCTACTTGCTTAATCTTCTTCTTCCTTTTAGCTTCCTGCACCAGAGCTTTCCTCTTCTTTGCTTCAGCCTGTCGACCAAAATTTAATCCATTTTGAGAGATAATCATTGTCCCAAGAACAAAATAATACTATCTTATGTCAGGACAGAAGGCAAGCAATTCAGGATACAAACACAAATTGGCCTGATGAAAGGAAAATCACATTCAATTCAGAGTACGCATGAATCAAAATAAAAGGCCCAGGTTCTGTTGATTTGCCAAGCCATATATGTTAATGTCCTAAGACTTCAAATGCTAAGAAAACTAACAACCATGAGAACATAAGCTTCTAAGATGTTAAGGGTTTGTACATGAATACACAAAAGCCTTCAACACTGCATGAGTCTTTTCCTCGTATAGTGATATAAATTAATCTTAAATCTCATTCTAGTAAAATAAAGCTAAAAAGCCAGGTACCGCACCAAGAATCATATCCCGCTAGTATTTGCAAGATAGAACCAGTTATGAGTTCCAACACCAGCAAACAACAAATTTGAAAGATGTTACTAAAACTTTTAAGAGTAAAATAACATAGAAGTGAAAATAAAACAGCAAATTCTATAAATTGTATCAAGAATGACCAAACAGTGCATTCTGTACAAAAGGCATGGTTGTTTTTATTAAGTCCTCTTATGCAACATTGATATATTATTGTTTTGAATCAGTTGAACACAAGAATGAAAAGCATGAGCAAATGGATGCATTCAAACCAAGAATCACCATAAGGAAAACACATGCTGCAAGAACTAATAATCTGTATAAACTATAAAACACAAACCAAAACAAATGCCCGATGCTGCCTCATGCGCTTTTTCTCGTTCCTTCTTTTGACACTCCCTTCATTGGGATTGTTGGGAAGAATTGGGTGCCCCGGCATATACTGTACCCAGGCATATGGTCCTGCATTCTCAAGTTAATTAGCATTTCATTTCTCTTTCTTCTTCTTATATACAGTTTTTGATTAATTGACAATTAGCATACAGAAACAAGTAAAACAAACAACTTTATCCTAAACAACTTCTAAAACCCTAATTCCCCATAAACCCTGCAACAATTTTACCTAAAGTTAAACAATTTTACCTAAAGTTAAACAATTTTAGATTGGCAAAAGAGTATACAGGAGGTTGAGCCAATGAGGTACCTGGAGGCCTCAAGCTAGCTCGCTTCCGGCGCGGCTTGTCCTGGGGTCTTCTCTTCGGGTAACGAGTGTCGGTCAAGCTGTGAAAGCGAGCAAATACCGAGATCCATGGAGATTTTCCGTTAACCGCCACCGCAAAAGCGAAACCCAAATCCAGTTTCGGAGACGGAATCGAGGACAGAATCGATCTCGCCGGACAGGTGGCGGAGGCGCGGGACAGTACGGTTCGAGTTAAAGGTCGAACGAGATATCTTAAAGCTCCAAATCCCATTTTCCAGAGGGCTAAAGCATAAACCTCGGTCCCAACCAAGCTCTGGTTTTGATCTCCGCGTTTCGGCTTAATTCAATAATGTTAATAGCCTAAATTCAATTTAGTAAACTTATTTTTTTT